TTGTTTCCCTCTGTGTCCGTGTGTTCTCATCATTGAGCTCCCACTTATAAGAGAGAATATGCAGTGTTTTGTATTCCGTTCCTGTGTTAGTTTAGAATAATGGCCTCCAGCTGCATCCATGTTGCTGCAAAGGACATGATCTTGTTCTTTTTTTTATGGCTATGTAGTATTTCATGGTATATATGTACCATATTTTCTTTGTCCAGTCTACCATTGATGGGCATATAGGTTAATTACATGTCATTGTTACAATAAATAGTGCTGCAATGAACATACATGTGAATGTGCTTTCATAATAGAACAATTTATATTCCTTAGTGTATGTACCTAGTAACGGGATTGCTGGGTCGAATGGTAGTTCTGTCTATGTAGGACTTTGAGGAATCTCCATACTGTCTTCCACAATGGGTGAAGTAATTTACACTCCCACCAGCAGTGTAAAAAAAGCATTCCTTTTTCTCTACAGCCTTGCCAGCATCTGCTTTTTTTTTTTTTTTTTTTTTTTAGCTTTTTAATAATAGCCATTCTGACTGGTGTGAGATGACATCCCATTGTGGTTTTGATTTGCATTTCTGTAATAATCAGTGATATTGAACCTTTTTTCATGATTGTTGGCCACATGTATGTCTTCTTTTGAAACATGCCTTTCACTGTCCTTTGCCCACTTTTTAATGGTGTTTTTTTTTCTTCTTGTAAATTTAAGTTCCTTATGATGCTGGATATTAGAACTTTGCCAGATGCATAGATTGCAAAACTTTTCTCCCCTTCTGTAGGTGTCTGTTTACTCTGTTAGTTTCTTTTGTTGTGCAGAAGCTCTTTAGTTTAATTACATCCCATCTGTCAATTTATGCTTTTGTTGCAATTGCATTTTGTATCTTTATCTTCATCATGAAATCTTTGCCCATGCCTGTCTTGTTTTTTTTTTTGGATTTTTATGTTCTTAATGCTTTTAAATTCTGGGGTACACGTGTAGCTCATGCAGGATTGTTACATAGGTATACACATGCCATGGTGGTTTGCTCCATCCATCCCCCGTCACCTACATCAGGTATTTCTCCTAATGTTATCTCGCCGTACATTGATTTTGTATCTTGAGACTTTGCTGAAGGCGCTTATGGCTTAAGGAAATTTTGGGCTGAGATGATGGGGTCTTCTAAATATACAATTCATCATCTGCAAATAGAGACAATTTGATTTCCTCTTTTCCAAATTGATTACCCTTTATTTCTTTTTCTTGCCTGATTGCTCTGGCCAGAGCTTCCAATACCATGTTGAATAGGAGTGGTGAGAGAACCCTTGTCTAGTGCCAGTTTTCAAAGGGAATGCTTCCAGTTTTTGCCCATTCAGTATGATATTGGCTGTGGGTTTGTTGTAAATAGCTTTTATTATTTTGAGATACGTTCCATTGATACCTAGATTATTGAGAGTTTTTTTTAGCATAAAGCGCTGTTGAATTTTGTGGGAGGCCTTCTCTGCATCTATTGAGATAATCATGTGGTTTTTGTCTTTGGTTCTGTTTATGTGATGGATTATGTTTATAGATGTGTGTATGTTGAACCAGCCTTGCATCCTCAGGATGAAGCCTACTTGATTGTGATGGATAAGCTTTTTGATGTGCTGCTGGATTCGGTTTGTCAGTATTTTATTGAAGATTTTTGCATCAATGTTCATCATGGATATTGGCTTGAAATTGTCTTTTTTAATTGTGTCTCTGCCAGGTTTTGGTATCAGGATGATGTTGGTCTCATAAAATGAGTTAGGGAGGATTCCCTCTTTTTGTATTGTTTGGAATAATTTCAGAAGGAATAGTACCATCTCCTCTTTGCACGTCTTGTAGAGTTTAGCTGTGAACCCGTCTGGTCCTGGGACTTTTTTTGCTTGGTATGGTATTAATTGCTGCCTCAACTTCAGACCTTGTTATTGGTCTATTCAGGGATACAACTTCTTCTTGGATTAGTCTTGGGAGGGTGTAAGTGTCCAGGAATTTATCCATTTCTTCTAGATTTACTGGTTTATGTGCATAGAAGTGTTTGTAGTAATCTCTGATGGTAGTTAGTATTTCTGTGAGATCAGTGGTGATATCCTCTTTATCATTTTTTATTGCATCTATTTGATTCTTCTCTCTTTTTTTTTTATTAGTCTGGCTAGCAGTCTATCTATTTTGTTGATCTTCAAAAAACCAGCTCCTGG